CTCTCTCTCTCTCTCTCTCTCTCTCTCTCTCTCTCTCTCTCTCGCTCTCTCTCTCTCTCTCTTTCTTCGCCTTTCTCTCTTTCCCTTTTTCTCTCCAGTATCAAGGCCATTAATTTAACACCCGCGTTAATGGGCTCACTAGAAAATACATATCGCTCGTGTTGTACGTATTATAACGCGGTCATGGGAGTTTCACGAGCGAACGAGTTAATTCGCCGCGTATCGCAATACGATCTTTCCGCGGCGGTATGATGATAAATGACGTGACAACTCGCCGCACCGGAGCGGTCCCCACTTTTTCCCCCCTTTTCCTTCTGCCGGCTATTTGTTTTTTTTTTTTTTTTTTAAACGGCGTGGCGAATCGACTCGTCACGCTCGAGCGGCGTTACGTCTCCCGACGAAACACCGCACGTCGCGAGTTGTTAAAAAAATTAACGAAACAATGCGTCGCGGCTGTCAGTGCTGTTTAACGCTATAGTCGAGAAGCGTGCGATGATTCCCTGTGTAGTCGTATCCCTCGCGCCGCTTACGTACGTTGAGTACTTTAATCAAGGGGATCGCGTAAATTATTCGCGAAGTCGCCTCCACGACGCAATCAGTCTCACCACGTATATATTTGTAGTCGCTTTTCGCCGTTTCGCTCTTCGCCACAGCCGTCACTTTCTCACGCGATATATCGTAATTATCAATCTAATATATCGTACACTTAAAAGTTTGCAATCGAGAGAAAGGAATATGCGAAAAAGCCACGCATACGACTGAAAGAAACGGTTTTCGCGCTTTCACCGGAGATCCGCTCTTGCGTTGGCGCTCTCAAAGCCCGTTCTTTGTGCAGCCACAAAACGATCTGTAGGGCCAATATAAAATTCAAAGCCACCAAGTGGCACCCTCCACGTTAACGACAGCGCCGCCCCTGAGCATCAGTATGCTAATCCGATGATTGGCTATGTTCCAACCCCGATCCCTCTCTCACCACATTATTCTCTCTCTCTCTCTCTCTCTCTCTCTCTCTCTCTCTCTCTCTCTCTCTCTCTCTC